TCGTGCCACTGGAACAGGCCCTGCAAACTTGAGCACGAGCAAGCCTGCAATGCCCCTTAAAATCCCAGAGCCGATGTGGGATCCAAGTGGCGAACTTCTCCTGGCCAGGGCCAGGCGCCGCTGAGCGAACAGGAGGTGGACGAGTTGCTCCTCTTCGCCGACCCGGCGGGGCAACAGGGTCTCAGGGGTTTCAGGAGGTGCTTTGCTGGCACATTGTCGGTTTAGCCAGGATCAATTCATTAATTTAGGGGCTTTCGTTTTTGCCCAAGCAAATCGCTCTGGAGGACCATGATGGCCTTGTGAATTACAAGGAGTTCCTCAGGCGGGTGAATCTCATGGCTTGTCTTGCGCCGGCATGAAAATCCTAGTTCCGAGTGACATCGCCGTCGCCGTGAACCCTGCAGGTGGCTGAACAACCCATACCTGCACCACAACTACAGCGACTAATGCTTCACCGCTTCACGAAGAGGAGCGCCAGTACTCCTAGGTCCTCGGTGCTTCAAGGTGACCTCGACTTCTGTCATAGGCTTGCAGCGCCAGCGCCGCGCTGGCAGATCCGGCTGGGCAGCTTGCGAAACTCGGTGCACACGGCTGTGCAGCACGGGGCCAGCCTGCTGTTTACCAGCTACAGCAGTTACAGCAGCTACAGCAGCTACAGTGCTGGTGGCGGCTCAGGGCATGCGATGCCCGCTTTCTGGTTGCGGATCTACTCTAAGGATGTCAGGCGCCGCCGGGAGATGGCTGCATTCCCGTGCACGTGTGATCCGTCCAAAAAACGACGGAAGCGTACTGTGGGATATTTTGCCCAGGCTTTCCCTTTTGCATCTTGTGCTGCTCCTGGCCTTCGTTTCACTCTGCGTTTGACAGGGTCGGCACATCTCTGACATTGGGCCGTTCACGCTTCCTTCGTGGCTGCAGGGCCTAGAGAGCCTGGAGTCTAAAGAGTCTGGAGGGTCCCTTAGAGTCTAGAGCCTGCGCCAAGCTTCTGATCAGCCATGGCCCTGTCAAGCTCATTCTCATGCTGCTCTCTTTGAGGCTGCCCGAGCTCTTGCAAAGAGGAAAAAAACCTCGGCGGAGCTGGAGTTCGCAGCAGCAGTTAGCACAGTCTGTCGTGTTTCAGCATCTGGTTGCACCATTGCTTGAGGATGCTTTAGGGCGGGGTATCATGTTGAGACGGGCAAGCGATGCCCATTTACAACATGCTCCAAGCCACTTCAAGCGTGACACACTTAATTTTTTTGTTTCACATCGCAGCAAGCGCGGGGCACCATGTCCTCCCCACCCAGCATAGTCACACACAGACGCGTGCAACTCGTGTAGCCATGGGTCGGCGACCTGGGGCTTTTTCTGCAAGCCTGTCACAGGAGACTGCGTGTCAATGGGTGATGAGGGGTGAAGGTGGCATGCCAAGCCGCCGACATCTTCACGTAATCCTCAGACATGGCACCGGCAAGTTGTTCGTCGTGAATGTCCAGGTCATGCAAAGGACCTGTCCTGATGACGAGGTGATGAAGTAAATGAAGTGCTTTGACAGCGACAGGGTTTGCAGGTCTCAGCCTGCATTCTCCGCAGGAGGACCGGGAAGTGCAAGCAGAATTGCTTGCTTTGCGCGGCCACCTTCCGAAGCAGCTGGAGGCTCCATGCTTCTTTCATTCGTTGCTTGCCTCTTGTCCAAATCGGCGGCCGAGTGATTGCCCAGGACGTTCAGCAGATGCTGATATCGACTTGCTTCCCTTGTTTTTCTTCTTCTGATCATGGACAGGCCGATGAGATAGAGGATCATCAGAAGGACATGAGCAGGGCCGTTCGCAGCTGCCAACATGCGACCGGCACCTTGCCATGCGTGCATGCAGGATGTCCTCGATGAAGCCGGCTTCGTAATGGACGAGACGCTGGATCAGATGACAGTGTTCGGGGAAGGCTTTTAGTGTTGGGGACTGACCGTGATTCATGATCAGCCCGGGCAGTATTCTCTTGAGTCCGTCTGCTGGAGATTGCTACGTAGAGGCACCACTGCAACGAAGGAACAATCCTCTCGTCTACGTGTCGAAGAATGACGCGTCACGAACAGATGGAATTCCGTATGTCGTGACATACAAGAGCCTTGACCGAAGGAGGTAGCTGTGCTGTGGCAGCTTTGGTTGTGTCCTTTTTTGTCATCGTCCCTGTTTTGGCTTGAGATGCGTGGCTTTGCATGTGCCGCCACTGCGAGAACACCAGTTCGACACGTTGAGAAGTACGGTGCCCAAATTGGGTGAGGTGATGCTAATTAGCCGAGTAAGAGGACCGGCAGAAGTTTCTGTCATACGTTGATTCATGATTTGAAGACGAGGACCTTGACCCGATAATACATCTGAGGAAAGTGGCCATCCGAAAGATTCCTTCCACGGAGTCGCATGTTCTGGGCGCACTTGAAGCTGGTGACAAGCTGACTCTCTTCGTTGCCTGGCCTCGGTACAGATAGTGACTATAGTTACATGGACCTGATTTCTGAGAGGTCCACTGCAGTACGCAGTAGTTATCCTGTGATGTGACGCGAGGGGCACATCGGAGGTCTTCCTCCAGGGTTCTGTTGACAGTCCTGTTCATGGAACACCTTGGGTTGCTGTCAACACAGGGGTGCAGTGCTAAGCAGTCGCCTAATTACCGGTCTACATGGAGTGGACGTGCCTTGTTGATGCGAGGATGCAGATGTCACAGGGGCCTGGCGGAAGCTTCACTACAAGCTCAAAGGCGGCTACGGAAGCCTGGTGGAGGCTTGGACGAACCCTGTGTCTGTGCTGAGCCGTCCTCACAGGGCAGAGACATCTGTAACAGCCTGCTCGAGTGGTAACAAGACAGAGAGCCCGCACCTGTCTCCTTGAAAACTCAGAGGGACAAGCAAAACCTGCCATTGGGTTTGAGCGTGTTGAAGAGGCATGTTTAAGAGACCTGTTCTAATGATTTGTCCGGTGCAACGACAAGCGGAAACATCACGGTGACGCTGGTTTAGACTGTAAAGTTCGGGTCAAGCAAATGAGTTACAAGGTTTTCCACGCTGCCTCAGCCGTTGCTGAGAAGAGCGCATCCCCAGCAAAGGGTCAGAATGCGGGACATTGTCAGGTTTGGGACGGAGACTTTGTTTTGGACGCAACATCTGCGAAAGAGCCGAAAGGGCTCCGTCTTGCAAGACGACGCTCACAGGCACAAGAACCCCTCCAAGGCAACATGCTCTGGAAGCAATAGATCCGAGCAGATAATTCAGCAGACTCCGCTGCAGCGCACTGCGCAAGCAGTGCGGAACACCTTGCAGAGCCAGAGATGGGGGTGCATGATTGCCTCCAGAAGAGGGTTTCTGTGAGTGCTGGCCCTCGAAGTGCGATCCCGAACATGGGGTCAGGCATGGGTGATGCTTCGGCATCACCAATTCGGAGCTTTAGTTCAGCGAGCTGACGGGAAGAGCGACCGGGTCGAAGCCAAGGCGAGAAGGGCTTCGTGGTCAAGGAGCAAAGCGAGCATGAGTTAGTATTGGGGTTTGCATCCAGGAGCCAGTTTCCACAGAAGCCCCGGTCCTGGCGCCGGCTGTTGATACCTCCGTGGAGGAGGAGCAGCGGAGCATGCACGCAGAGCTCTGCCATGTTTCGCCTCCGCCTTCTCCCGGAACAAGTTAACATCAAGCCAGACTATAAGATTAGCATGTCGAGGCTGCATCTGAAGTGGAGAGAGCGAGAGGTGAGAACCCAGGTAGCACTTTCTGCTTTGTTGATGATAGGAAGTTGACAAGACTGCTCGGGCAGCAGCGTTGGCAGCCGAATTTGGCGAACGCCTCATGCTCATGTCTGCGCAGGACTGTCGGATGTAATTGGCTTCAGTGCTCGTTTCCTCTTGCGCAGACATTGCTGGAGGATGTTCGCCGGTTCATGCCAACCGGCAACCGCAGAACCTTCGAAGTGGTCTGGAAACCCACGGTGGCCGTGCGCACCATGCCTCACAGAGATGCTCTCATTGCTGCTCAGCGCAACACTGCCGAGTCCGGCATGACAGTATCATTACGGCCCAGCAGCTGATGCTAGAGTATGCTAGAGCTGCGAGAGTGCTAGACAGGTCACTACCGCTGAGCATGGGCTGGAAATTGACACCTTCGGGACGGATGAGACTGGCGAATGGCGCAAGGCGGGAAATGATGAGCTGTTACCGGCCTAAGCAAGAAAACCAGTCTTAGGATGTCGGTCGCTTGCTGGTTGGCTTTGTTTTTGAGGTGTATTGCTCCTGTACATCATCGGGCCGCGAGGCATAGCCTATGATCTGGGTCTGGACGGCTCTCATGTCACCTAGCTGCAGGATGCACCGCTCCCGGAAACACCGCTAGCAGCCTGGATGCTCGAGAAGCACGAGACTTTGGGTGTCTTGCTGAGGCCTGATTGTTGTCAAAACATCGGTAGTCGGGACCCAGCAAGGCGTAGTTGCTATTGTGCCATCCTTCGTCTTCATGGTCATTTGTTTGCAGTTTCTTCATTCTGTGGGAGTTTGTTAGAGTGTGTGTGTGTGTGTGTGTGTGTGTCTGTGTGGTTACAAGGCTCGGAGGGTGGGAGATACATTTCTTTTCCGACGAGCTTGTCGCTGAAGAGGTCAGTTGAAGACACCATGCGACCAACCGCGAAGTAGTACTGACGGCAGCAAATCATGAAGCGAAAGCAGCGGCACAGTGTTGCACAGAGAAGGATTTTCAACATCTTGATTCAAGGTGGAGCAACACGGCAGTGTCAGAAGACCGTGCCTTCTCTTTGCACGCTTGTCGATGTGATGCTGGAAATCGACGCTTAATGCTGCCGCTGAAAAGGTCGCAGGGTATCTGGGTGTAGGAGCTGTTGTTCGATGAATAAAGACGGTCTCTGGATTTATTGGTTGGAACACAGAAGGTCAATGCCGCGGCTGCACGCAGTCATGAATGCACCATGCGGAGCTTTGCTCTTGGCCGCAACATGAAGAAATATGATGCGAGCAACATCGAGTAACCCCAGGTCTCGCGATTTTCCTGGGCGGTGGCGAAGCTTGCTTGTGCAGACGCGGCCGTGACTGATCACCTGGCCGAAGAACAAGCGACACGGTGGCAAGCATGGGAAAGTAACTGCCAGGTGTTCGGAAGTTGCAATGGTCGGTTTGCCAAACCATCGGATAGTATCTGGTATGCAACAATCGAAAGGTCTCGAGTCCCTAGTTGCAACCACCTCGTTCGTTGCTGAAAACATGTAACAAAGCCAGTATTGCTTTGAGCCATTCGCCACATCTCCAGACTCTAGACATTGCAGACGAGATGATGCGCAGCGGATGATTGTCATTGAACATGAGATGTTTTCTTGCCTACGTCTTCACATGCTTCCATGTCGGCTGGCCTGGAAGGCAGCCCGCATTGGCGAGTTTCATGCCGTGAACCTGGCGCTCCAGCCTAAGCTGGTGTGGATCGGGGGACAGAAGGTGCCTTGTGCTGCCAACTTGTGCACTCCCCTTTCGTACGGCACAGTTGGATATGTTGTCGTACCTTCCAACAGTTGTCACAAGTTGTCACCCTTTGCTTCTCGGAGCTCCAAGTGCAGTCCCTGCGCTGACGTTCTGTGGCGAAGCTCTCTCGAGTCGGGCTCGAACTGGGATACCAAGCTGCGTTCAGCTATGATTGTCTTGCTTTTGAGTTGCAGTTAGTCAGTTGTAGGAGATGGCAAAACCATGCCAAACCTGTTGCGACACAACAGTCGTTGCATCTATTGTTTATCGAAGTCGTCCAGCACACGTTTCGCATGAACAAACGCCGACATGGTGTCGAGTTGGCAGTGCTGGCATTGTACGTGGCGGGCAGTCGGTCAGCAGGTGGTTGGACTGAATGTTCCCTGAACGATGTCTTGGATCTGGGCCCAGCGACTAAGTTAGAGAACTTCTGGCAGGACTATGTTCTTAACTGGTCCAGCCTTCACATCGACTCGGGCGCTTCCTTGGAGGATGCCCGATTCTTCGCCAAGTGGACGCGGATCTTCACGCAGAGCACGGAGCTCCTGGCAGCTGTGGCAAGCGACTGCCTCTTCGGCATCCTGACAGTTTTCCTCCAGGCCCTCCCGGCCATCGACTATGAAGGAGGCCGAAACGAAGCGAGAGATGTCCTGCAATTGAGCGGGGAGATACTGGAAAGCATCCCCCAAGACGAGATGGAAGATGCAAAGGCGAAGGCTTCGCAGGAAGGCTGGGAAGTGGGGAGACTTGTCAGCACCTTCCAACTGTATCAAGCTGTGCTGGGTCCCGGTGGGAAGGATGAGAAAGTACCGTGTACGGGGCCGAAAGTCTTCGTTTATCCCGCGCCGGATGCTTTGGGCCTCGCGCCAGCCGAGCTTCTGCATTCCGGCCCGGCTGGGTACCTGCCCGCGATGATGTCCAAGCCCCTGCAATGCTTGTTCGGCATGTACGGGACGGAACTCTTGTTTCACAAGAGATTTCAAGAAGAGGCCTCTTGTCGGACGGATCAGCCTCAGGATGCTCAGATCTTCTTCGTGCCATCCTATTTCAAGTGTATTGAAGTCCTCAACTATTTCGATGCTTTCGACTCCGAAGGGGTCGAGGCTGATCTGCTGCTTCAAAACGTGCTCCATCATCTTCGAAGCTTCGGCCCATGGTTCGATCGCAAGGACGGCGCGGATCATGTGTTTCTCTTCAGTTGGGGTCGCCACCCGTGCCGCATCCCTGGCTGGCGCGCGGGGCTCCGCTCGGCCATCCTCTTGCAAGTGGAAAACCACTGCGAGGACCTCAATTTCGAGAAGCCCGAGCCATCCTTCAACCGCTGGAAGGACATTGTCATTCCTGGCCATGTGGACCTTTGGAGGGCCAAGGAGCTCGTAAGCAAGAACCGACCCCTTGAAGACAGGGATGTCCTTCTCTGCTTCCACGGCCGCCACGCCGGAAACACGCAGAGCTATGCGAATGTGTCGGTGCGCACGCGTATCATGGAGGAGCTCGCCGGCCTTTCCGGTGTTAGCGTCGGCGGTTTCATCGAAGAATACCATGTGCTCATGGGGCGCTCCCTGTTCTGCCTGGCACCTAGAGGCATCACCCCATGGACCATCCACCTCTACGTGGCCTTGCTGGCTGGGTGTATTCCAGTTATCCTGTCTGATGATTTGGAAGTTCCGTTTCAAGAACTGCTAAATTGGCCTGAATTTTCCATAAAGTGGCCAGCTGAAAGGATAAGCGAGTTGTACGGCTACCTGAGATCAATCCCGGCACTGGAGCTGGTCCGGCTGAAGGAGGGCGTGGACGAGCATTCCTGTTGGTTTAATTACTACTCAGAGAAGGAAAACTGCAACCCCTTCGCAGCAGTGATGACTCTTCTGCAGCGACGTGTTGAGCAGCGCCCTCGCTACGGTGGACTTTTCTGGGGTCCAAACGATCTGCATTCGCAGCGAGACGACCTTGTTGCCGTGTTGTCTCAGTCTTGTGCCATGTCGTGCTGCGATGTAATGCCCTCCAAGTGCCATGCACAACCGAGCTTTTCCCAGGAACATCCTCTGGGCGAACGCCAAGCTGCTGAATAAATCCGAGAAGCTTGTCGACAGCTTGTGCACAGCTTAGGACCTTGTGTGCTGATGTGTATACATGGCAGTGACTGTGATTTCCAAATCATGCCAGCGGCTGGCGAGTGGGAGCGTTTGTGTGAGAGAGAAGCAGCCGTTCCGAGTCTGCCGTTTTTGGCCTGCGAGGTGTGGCGCATCCATGCGTCGTGTTGAAGAGTTCAACGCGCCTGACTCCCAGCGGAGTTGCAGAAGCGAGGGAACCGTTCCGGCACGAGGGCTTGGAACCGCGTGTGAGGCAGAATCTGGCGAACGCAGTCTGGGCTATCGCAACGCTGAGCTTCACGCAGCTTAGCTGTGGTACGCGATGCAAGTTCTGCCAGACATCTATGTGCATCTTGCGGTCCAGGCTAACTGCAAAGATGGGCGCTTTCATAGAGTCCCAGCTGCAGTGCGAGCCTGGATTCTGGATTGAAAAGTTGCGTCAGAGCCGCAGTCCAAGGAGCAAAGCATCCTGAAGATCCACGAGCTGCTGGGGTGTGATTAGAGCTGCAGGGGCCATGCAGGGGCCATGGGGGCCTTCGAGGGCTCCCTGCGGAGTTCAGGTTTGGCCCACAAGGCCTGGCCAACACGTCTTGGGCTCAGGAAGGGGAGGCACTACGACATGAAATTGCACGCATGCACATCTTCCCGCCAGGGCAGCTTGCTCGAGCCGGCTCATGACATGGTATGGTAGGCTACCATGTTCAATAGCAGTTCTTGTATTTCCGCATTTGCGCTGCACAGTGTGCCAGGGTGGAAAGGCTTGGTTGGCCCAGGCTTACCTGGTACCTAGTTCATGCGAACCCCTCTGTTGCACTAGTCACTAGACTGAGACAGAATCCGCGATCTCGATCTGCCATGGTGTCCTTTGAAGGAGCCTTGTTGAATCGCACAGCAGCTTGGCTCGTTTGGCAAGCTGCCAAGGAAGAAGGAACCAAGGTTTCTGAGTTATCGGACGAGGATGATTAAGCCCTAAGGCGCAAAGGCAGGCGCAAAGACAGCCCTTTACGGCGCCGCCCTTTGAGAGCCAAGGCGTTTTCAGGCGGCCGCTTCCGGGCCTCGAGGCGCCTCGTGGCCGGGGAACCGATCCTGGCACTCCCGGAGAGGCACGAGCAAAAAAGCACCCGTTCCCGTTCGTGCTTTAAAGAAGTTCTTGGTTTCATTCTGAGATTTCGTCTTGTGTTTTTTGTTCCCATCTTCTGAGGTTCGAAGCACATGTATCGAGTTTTCACCGTTGGTGTGTGTCTGGACCTCGTGCGGCTCCTTGATGTTTCAAAACGCAACTCGTTGCAGGACATGTTGGACTCCGAGCGCCGCCAGAAAATGTCAGGTGTTGCAGAGGCTTCTAGATACTTGCCTAGATCAAACAACAGCAGGTGCTGCCTGTTTCAAACTAGGGTGGGCTTGCCATTGCCGGTGCATGCGGGTACTCCTCCTTCTTCAGGACCAGGATGCATCGGACTCCATCTGGATGGCTTTTCACATCTTGCTTGCGCACGACGGGCGGCTAGGGGAGCCCTACACCTCGCAGATGGCACTTCTTCGAGATGCAGCCGAAGGACTCATGAGTTTTGGGAGCATTGGGATAGGATGGCGAGACATGTCCGTGTGTGTGTGTGTGTGCAGGTGTTGCAAGTGTCTCAGGAGGGAAGCAAGGAAGAAAGCACGCAAGACAAGAATCAACCTCTGTTATGAGGTTCCGGAGCAGCGGGTGAATGCATTGCACGTTCGACTGGAGCGACATACCAGCGCATGCCTTGGAAGCGTGCATGTGTGATGACGGCATTCACATCGGTGCAGCAGTGCAAGAAGTTGACGTGCTGCAAAGAAAAATGCTGCGGTCCATGGTTGGTTGACATCGTGTTGAAGGTGGCTTGGGCTGACACCATGCGCCGTATGAGATCCAGCGTCTGCACTCCCTCGGTCGTTTTGGGGCGCGGTTCAATTTCACACAGCAGACAAAGAGATAGCCTGGCAGACCCCCGAAGCATTGGGACGAGGTCATACTGTCCTCGGCAAACGCTTGGTGTGATGTCGCTGATTCGCCCGGTCGGCATTCTGCACGACACCGTCATATCATTATACACAATCTTGGAGAGACGGTGCACTTTCATGAACTAGATCCTGCACCCATTCTCTTATAGGACCGTAGTCTCAGAATCGAGCGGGCAAATTGCAAAGTGCTTTGAGGGAGAATGGTCTGTTTTGAGGCTTCGTGACTTTCTGTGATTTGTCCTGATCTGCAAAGGTTACATCTCGCATATGTTCTTTCATGTTCTTTCCGTTTGGTACGGTGCACAATTGAGTGCAGGCTCTTACGCCGGCATGCGGTGTTTCTTCCTGAGGTGTAAGTACTCTGGCACCTGCTGTTGAAGCACCCTTCGAAACGGTGAACTGACGCAAACTCACAGATAAATTCAAGATTTGGGAATACCTTTGGGTTCAGGGTTTAGTTATTACGTCTGTGTGCAGGCTGGCCAGACTCGAACCCTGCTCGAACCCAGTAGCCAGGAGGGGGCAGGGCTGTCCGAGAGCTACTCGCAGGACTGCTCCTGTGGGACGACGAGGATCTGCTGCACCTCCAAGGTAGCCGATGGCTGGACATCACGAAGCAAGGCGGAGATTCTGTTCTCCCCGCGATTTTGACAGCAGCGCTTACTTCCTTGCAACGACAGCCAGTGCAGTGCCATGCCATGCCTCTAGTAGTTTGTCTAGTTCTGCAGGCATGTTGCAGTGTGAGTCATCACAGTGTGAGTGATGCTCTCGGCCATGATCGCAGCACATGGCTCGCATGCCGACTTTCTCGTGGGTTTGTCCCCCCCCCCCCCCCCCCACCGCAAGCTTCAGCTTCAGCTTCAGCCTGATCTAGGTTTGGTTCTGGGTGTTTTGGGTTTAGAGTTCCAGGGCTTGAAGGATCTGATCTGTTTAGTCTTCGTTGGGGTTCTGGCAACTGTTTCAAGGAGTCAGCAAGTTCTGTTCCTTTCTCCACGCGCTTCGGATTGTTTAGGAACACGACGCTATTAGGTGCCCGAGCTGCCGAAATACATCACTCTCCTCCAGCCTACCCAGTCCCAGCATCGGAACCATGTCTCGATGTGCTTCGAGAGGCCGAGAGGAGATCCTGGAGGTGTCTCTGGCAGCAAGCTCGGGCTCGTGGGATGCCGACCATAGATGGTTTAGTTAGGGTTCGGTTGCAAGCTACCTGGATGCTTTGAGGAGTTCGCTGCCTTGCACGACTTCCTCGGTGAGGAGGGTGCTGCAGAACTTGGGGCCTCGCCTGAGCGATATCTTTGGGCGCAGGCGGGAAGGTCACTTTCTGTGTATTAAAGGGAGCCTTGGATGCCCCGGGAGGCGATCCTGCTGCAGTACTTGCTTCGTTTTGTACGGTCCGATGGGACGGCTGTTGAGATCTTCATGCCAGAGCTTGCGGTCCTGGATGCCCTAGCTTGCATATGGATGTTCATGGCCCTCATGGCCATTGTGAAGCAGAAATGAAAAGCAAGTCATTCTCAGGTTGCTCTAGGCCCAAACGGTGTCCCCCAAGGAGGCGGAGTCTTTGGGCGCCGCCACGTCGGAGGCACCAGGGCTCGCTCGCTTGGAATCCGCTGGCCAGGACGGGATCTGTTGGCGTCGCGGCGACACCTTTGCGAGCTGCCCCTGCTGTCAGGAATCGATGCTGGTGTTTTACGCGCCCCGAATCCTCGAAGAGGGAGACACTTGCACTCACTTGCACCTCATGGGGTTGAAGAGACAGAGAGTGGGGAGGTGCTCCGGTCAGGCGACTGGACAGTGCAAGGCCGCTAGGCCGCTTCTTGCCGAGCAGCAGCCGAGGAACTTGTGCAGCTTTGTCATGGAGGCTCTCGTAGCTTAGAGCCCAGGTCTCTTCTAGCGGGTCTTTCTGACTCCTTGATAGGATAGGGTGCCCTCGTTTTAGGTTCTGCACCAGTTTGCAATTGTCGTGCAGTCGGGGTGAATCAGGGCTAGAGCGGTCGCAATCGGCACTGACTGGTTGTTCTTGCTGTGTTCCGGACGCTCCATGTAGCAGAAGGGAGCGTTGCTGCGTAGCGTCTTCCTTTATGCGTATCACATCTCCGGCTCCGTGAGATTTTTTTGCACCACGACCGTAGCTGCTCTGGTTAGGCGTTGTGCTGCGGTGGGGGGAATTGTGCATGCGATGATGTCAACACATGGCAAATCCCTTGTATTCCGAAGTTATGAAATTTGCAGTGGCCGGGAGACACAGACACAGATGCCGCAGGCTTGGCTTGCTGTGCAGGGAGGGCGCTCTTTGAGCGCGGCCGCTTCTCACCTCGCAGCCCGGCCAGCCACTTCGAGTTCGCTGCTGGGACCTGGAAAGCGAGGGTTGGAGATGGTTGGAGAGTCTTGGAGATCCAGCAATCAAAGAGCAGCCTTTTCATGAGGCACTTACCGTTCCTGTACCACAGAAGATGTCTGACAAGGTCAGCAAGAAGGCCTGTCGTTGTAGATTTTCTCTTGCCAGGAGCGTCAGCGGGTCGCGTCGCGTCGCCAGGTCGCTGAGCTTGCGCAGGACGGCTTGCAACCAGGACAATTTCTGCCTGCAGAGGCGAAGCGGGGGCAGTCTGCATTTAGCCTCGGGGGGATCTTCCCTGCAGGCTGTGGAGGAGTGGCAGCCTGCGGTGCTGGTGGAGGGCTCGCTGCAGCTCAACGTGAGGCTCAAGTGTGGCTTACTGTTCTGGCGGTTCCGGAGCCGAGACACTTTCACCAACTTCACTCCCGGCAAGGATCTCGGAGCAGGATCCCCTGCCAGCTGCGGCTGTCATGGAGTTGCTCAAGGTCAGGTTACCATGTCCGCCAGTGCCTATGTGACTGCTTTCATTCGCCTGTGCCCTTGCATACTAGAAAACTGCGGGCTCGGCATCCTTGTTGAGTACGATGCAGCTCCTGCGAAGTGGGTTGCCAAGCTTCAGTTCGGGGGTCCTGAGTGATGCGGCGAATGCTGCTGAGCGGATGTCGGTGACTTCCTGTGCGTGTCTTAGTGGTTTGTTGCCCGAAACCTCGAGAGTACGGGAGAGAGAGAGAGAGAGAGAGAGAGAGAGAGAGAGATCCGCGAGTTGGCGCTGGACAAAGAGAGCGAGGAGATCGCCGAGCATACGGCAATGAATGTGCATCTTGACGTGGCATCCAGCACGGCATGCATCGCTGCACTGTGAGTCTACGATCTTCAGCGGAGAGGCACGGAGCCGGAAACCCAGGCTAAGCCACGCCCTCCTCTCCATCAACAAGGAGTATCTGGCTGCAGCCACGCGCCCCAAGGTGCCATGCTGCAACCTACGATTTCTCCTTCATGTGCAGAGGGGGAGGTGTTTTCGCAAGCACAAACGCCTCGCAACGTCGCCTCAAGACTTTAGAAGTGATGAAGGAATCGTTCCGGTTCCCCATGATTCCGAAGTCACAACCCTAATAAAACATTATTGAATTCAGATTTCCGGTCAAGTTGAATCGGGTTCAGCATGCACCCGGTCTGATGCACCTTGTAGTTGTGACGTTCACGGAGAAGTCTTGGCTTCGGTGATATGACAGACTGCAGTATTTTTTGTCTTCAGCATTGCGCTACAAGCCGTAAGCCCGACATTTTCACCGAAACGCATCAAGGCCCCCGGCCCAACACGCAGAAGGTACCAGAGGCATCTACAGCGGTCAGCCGGCAACGCCGGCAGCGTGCGCGGGCTTTGATTGAGGAGGCGCTGCGAGTCTGGGAGTGTGAACGGCAGGCATGAGCGGGCTCAGGGCCGTTTCGGGATTCAGTAAAAACACGCTTGACATCTATCCCCTCGCAAGGGATCCATGAAGTATGTAGACGGCTACCAGTGGCGCCTAGAGCCTTCTGATCCTCACTTCTGGTTTCCGAGCCCGGAACTCTGAGGAGAAGTGGCTCCTGGGCCTGGGCCAGAGTGCGCTGGAGGCCTCCTCCCGATCTTAAAAAGCTGTCGAGTGTATGGGGGCAGGGTTTGAAGTTTGCTGGGCACGGTCTTCACCTTCATAGTCATAGTCATAAGTTCTAGGCCTTCTGAAGGCTCCATCGTCCCTCAAGCCGCCTCCACGTGCGGCGATACCAGTCTGGCATCGTATGGAAGGCAGGCTCTGCTTTCTGAAGCGAGAGGGGTCTCTAACTGTAAGTTGCAGTTTTGGAGCAAGGTTTTGATTTGCAAAAGAATTACCTGAGAAGAGTTTTAGTCGTAATAGGTGCGGGTTTCACTTATGTTTAGAACTCAGGTATCCTGTGCATAGGATTGTCTAGGCTCAGCAACTGCAGACACCTGTCGGGGAGCAGGCTGTGCCGAATCCTTGCAGCGGCTCTGCGTGTCCTTCGCGTGGCTGAGCCCTGGCCAAGGTTCCTAGCTTGCCTAACCAATCCTCAATTTTAAGTCCAAGCTTCGATCCTAGGTACGAGGTAGATAGCCAGGTCTGCTTGCACGTATCCGTCCGTGTGTGTGTGTGTGTGTGTGTGTGTGTTTTCGTATTGCGAAAGACCACGTATACACCCTCCAATGGAGGCATACACTTGCACTTAATAGACTTATGTAAATGTAAGTATGAACCTGTATGTATATTTTTCAGCAGCGACTGGATCTACACCTCCCTCATCAGAATCGAACGTCCGCCGAAGTCATGTGCACAGCGGAAAGCTTCCACAGAGAGTTCGCTCAACCATTTCCTCCGCAGAATTTCCGCCCCTTTACCGGCGCACGCATTTGGCACTCTTTAAAAGTGTGCGTTTGCTTGTCCTGTGCCGCTCGGAGGTGAGGAGGCTCGGGCGCTTCTGTCCGAGCTGCGCGCCTTACGAGCCTGCTTGGCAGGAGCCGGGCATTGCAACCCATGCAGCCTGCACAGTGCGAGAAAATCCCTGCTGGAACCTCGAAGGTTTTCCTGATGGAAATCCTGAAACCGTGGCGCTCGTTCAGGTGCTGCATATCATTATTCGGCTTTCTAGGTGTTGCCGGGCGAGATTGCCTTGACTTCCAAGCTGCAGCACAAGGTGCCAGCGAGCTCCAACCAGGCTTTGCGCTCCCACAGCAAGGCCTGCGCAGGTGCGGAGGCACTTCAAACCAGAAGTCCGTGACAGTGCCAGGTCTCGCTAGCGGCCCTGCGTGCAAGACTAGCAGCGTGCACTTGGGTGACTTGGGTCCAACAACAAAGCGGCTACAAGGTCACGATGTAAGAGTCGGTTGTCGCCACTGTGTTGCCTGGCGTTGCCGAGGAGATCTCAAGCCTTCGCGCCCTCTGTGAAGATGCGGAGGATAGACGCCACGAGGCTCTCCTGGCGGGTGTCGCGGCCAGAACAGCATCTTGATCTTGCGCATTCCAAACGGGCCAGAGGGGAGAGGGGGATGGTGTGCAAGGTGTGCTGGGAGAAGCAGCCGCCTTGCACATTCGCTTGCTACAGTTTCGGGAAGCACACGCAAAGCTGGCAGAGTGCAGCTTGGTGATAAAAGGAGGTTTGGAGCTGCGATGTGTTTTTCTCATTTTTTCTCAGCGGGGCGGGGACTCAGTACAGATCATGCTGGCCATGACAGGTCTCCAGCTTTCACCAGATTCCCACACCGCCAAGTCGTTGCTGGGCCAGCAGTGCTTTTGCAGTGTAGGCATCGCTCTTTTGAAGCGCTCAGGGCTGGTGTTGGTGTGACCAGGCTGGCCCGAGACTGCGCGATTGCGCTGGGCAGTCGCGCGGAGGATGTGCTTGGCACCTCTGGCGCAGTGAAAGCACGGGAAAGGTGACAGAAATTGTGGCTGCCACTTGGAAGTCCATGTGAAAACCTGGGCCAGGAATGGGTCCGCGAATCTCTTGGAAGGAGGTGACATCCGCCGCTTGATCAGAGAGTCAGGTGTTGGCTTCGCAATTCGTGGGTTCCGGATGATGGCAGTGTCCAGTCTCACAGTTCTGTGGGCCGGCCTCAGCGGTCGGCGTGCCTGGGTGCGACTGAGGTGTCAGCGGAGCTGAAGGAGAGGTTGCAGGGGGCCGGCTACACGCAAGAAAACCTGCCCAAGGACTGCATAATCGCTTGATGTTGCTTGTTTGCCTAGCCGGTTGCTGTGTCTACGCCTTTCTGAGGCAGCTGGACTGCCTTCCATGCTGCATTTCGTCTCCAACAGAGGGGAATCGCTGGCAAATGCTCTGCAGGCAGGGGACGCGGAGCAGAAGCAACGGAACAAATGTTGGATGTGCTTGCAGGCGCGCGTTCGCATTGGAGATGTCTCGCAAGACCTGGCGGATCTTGTTCGTTTGTTTCTTCTCCGCCGGCTGCTGCCGCTGCAACGGGTGGTTGCCATTCTTGGGGAAGAGATCACCTCAGCCTTCCTGCGGCTGCAGGCCTTCTGCCTTATCGTGGGCCCGAACTCCCGGGTCTGTCCGGCATCGGAAGCTGTTGAGATCCTATCTAACGCGTCGCACACCGCCGACCTGGAGCTTTTTTCTGCGATTGCGATGTGGCCCCTGGAGGAGGACCTGCTCATCGCCACAGACTACGGCGATACACAGCATTCAGCACATTTTGAACCGGTCATGTACCTATCCTTGGACTCCTACGCGTTAGTCGCAGCAGCACCCCGTGAGCCAGTACAGCGAGTGCTGGACGTCTGCTGCGGCAGCGGTGTGCAGGGCATCGTGGCTTTGAGGACTTACGCAGAGCAGGCTACATTTGTGGACATCAACCCCAGATGCCTCGCCTTCACACGTTTCAATGCTGCACTGAACGGCTTCTACGAGCGAGCATCTTTCATCCAGGGAAGTGTGGATACCTTGACTGACCTGGGCTTGTTTCAGGCCCCGCCACCCCACCAACGCATAATATGGTACAGACAGGAACAAACCGACAGAGACAGACAGACCGAACGACCGACCGATGGACAGCCAGCCAGGCAGCCAGGCAGCCAGGCAGCCAGGCAGCCAGGCAGGCAGACAGGCAGACCGACAGACCGACGGACAGACAGACAGACGGACAGATTGGCTCGAGACGGCTTGGGTTTCGGCTTACAATTCAGGATGGTTGATCAGTCGATCGGAGAATGTCGGGGCCATCGTCGAACGAGAGGGCTGGTCATCCCACGTCGAGTCCTGTTTCGAGTCCTCTGCGCAAGAAGAGTAGACAAGAGGAAGGAGACAGAGATAGAGGAACTGATCACTGAGAATGAAAACAAAAAACAAAAATCACATTGAAGTTTCAACGATTCGAAACCCAAAGTAGATTACTGATCTACAACAGCTATCAAGAAAAAAGCCCCCAGTGCGACAGAACTGCCCAACATCCTGGGGTTGTGCAGCCATGTGCACTCCATGGCAATGTTTTCCGTCCGGGAAGAGGACCAACACGACGCCAGGGAGTACCTTCACAACCTGTTTGGGAACCTGGCGTGGGGAGGAGCCCACCTCCAAAACCTCCTGGACTGGGCTGAAGACCAAGGAGGCAACCCCTGGGGAATCCCCCTCTGAGCGAGCCAGGAACAAACAGCACCCTGGGGACGCCACAACAGAAGGAACACCCACTGTGGAGGAAACCCCGGTGCTACCACCCCACGCTGCAGTCGAAGCTTCCTCCAGTCACCTCGCACTACCGCGGCAGCAAGCAGCACCGGCTCCTGGCACACCAAGGAAATGCCGTATACTAGTATACCAGCTCCCCAAAGCACAGGAGCTGCTCAGCCAGGCCATGCCCGTCATGACCCAAGATGGGCAAAACTTGTGGCCGGGCTCGTGGCCTGCTGCAAACCTGGACAGAGGCTCTTTGGGGGACCCCAAGCACGCTGTTGGAAGATTCGCAAGGCACCAGTTTGGGGGAAGAAATGCCCACGATCCCAGACCCATGGGCAGAGTGGGACGAATGGGCAGGCCTGCTGCGCGACGAAGCCCGTCACGAGGACTGCCGTGACCCCGCGCTGTCCTCCAGTAGCGGAGACAGTCCGCGCGGCACACATCGACGTCGCCGTATGCACGCCGCCTTCGACGACAACTAAAAGCACACAGGGGGGCCCCCTCTCTTTCCACCAGCAACGATGCAACGATGACGACAAGTGAGAGGCAGGAGGCTTCCTCCTTGCGTAGATATGGGAGCTCCCTTGAGTCAGTCGCAGGTATTCAGGGAGGATGGGGCTTTCACTGTGAACCCCGCTCGACCCGGGTATGTGCCTTCCTCTGGTTTACTTCTACCTTGCTAGTGAAAGCCAGTCACCTCACACCTTCGAGTAGTGCTGCTAACGAGCAGGCACCGACCCACAGCGAGTCCTGACAGAAACGAGTGCTTTTTGTTGTGAGCCTGAGCTTTGCTTGTAGGGGACTCTCAAACAAACCCACCGGGAATGCAGTCCTGCAGATGGGTCATTCTGTGGGGGTACATGCTGCTGTGAAGTTTGCTTAGACCGGCACTGGCACTGGATTTCCCTTGGCTCGCTTTTCACGCCAGGCTTCCCCAAAACCTTTGGGTGGGCGATGACGCGCCGGGGCGAGGGTCCTGCCCTCGCTTCTACCCTCGTGAAAGAAAGAGAGAGTCATTTTGGCTCAAGTCGACCTGCCGCTTCCTTCAGGGTACTCGAGGGCGGCCCTCCGGGCTTGCTGTTGTACGCCGCAAGCCTGTTGGGTGGACGTCGCTCTGAGTGGAGGGAGGCTTGAGTCAGCCGAAGCCGTTGGCCTAAGTGGCCCCTTCTCCCTCCGTAACCCACGACCTGCTCGATCAAACGCCCCGCCGCTGGACTATCTCAGAAACAGTGAGAGACAGAGACAGAGACGCAGAGACACGCACAAACAGTGCGATTTACCGGTGCTTGTTTCCAGACCGTCTATCGTTGCATTTCTGGCTACTCAGGGGTGTAATGCCTGGTGTATTGATTCAAAGGATCTTCTGTTCATTTTGTTCCCATGTCAGACGGCACGGTATGCGGCGATGCTTGTTTCGGGACTCCCGGTTTTTGTCTGTCTTCATGGTGTTTCCTGTCTCCTGGAAAGCGAACTGCGAGCCCTGCTAGGCCATCTTGGCGAACCCACCTTTTGTGCCAAACCCGGAAAACACGGCAGCAGCGGCAGGCCCGATGTGGTTAAAGAGAGATTGGCGCAGCTCGACGCTTTGTTTTGGTCATGTCGAGCAAAGCCAGTGTTTGCGCATGTCTAACACCCTTGGCAGCTCCTCTCTACTCGGGTGCTGGGTGCGATGGCGAGGCCCGAATGCTTTGGCCGTTTAGCGCTGCCTCTTGTAGCACCCGGGTCTTGAGGCCGTCCACCGAGCGATTTTTGCTAAAGCTTTGCATCTTCTCGGCAGTGGAGGCAGGGCACAGGCTGCCAACACAACCGCCGCAGTCCCTGCAGACTTGCCTCTGAGACAGGCTATTTGAGCACTGTCGCAGAGGTGCCCAATCCAGAGAGCCGTGGTCGTGCATGCATGCGCATCTTGCAGGGGCTTATTCCAATGCTTTTTCGGGCCAGCATCATGGGTCTGCCGAGCTTTGACGTCCAAGGAGCTTGGCCACGCGGGTGAAGGATTGGATCGAGGACGGGCATGCCAGACTGATGTGCAATGATATTGACGCTCATGCGCGAGCAGAAGGCTGAAGATGCTGTACGGCCGGACATGACTGCCACCTGGCATGTTCAGTACGAAGCTACCAGGTGTTGTTTCAGACATTAGGGATGCCAAGCGTGTCATAACTGTGCATGCCGCATGGCTTTGAAGGTGAAGGTGTTTACCGGCAAGCGAGTTCCTGCAGAGGAGTATTGGAGAAGTGCCACGCAGGAGTGCCAGGCATGATGCAACCACGAGGATCCGTAGTTGCGTGACGAGGCCAACAGCACCCCTTTCGCCCATACAATAAGCAGACGTTTTGGACCCTGAGCGCGGGGCACCTTAGTGTAGAAAGCCAACTGAGGGAGATGGTTTCATGCTGGGCTGGTAGAAGTTGGAACTGCCGCATGTCTGTGACAGCTGGAATGGTGCAGGAGCGCTCGGAGCTCGAGCATCGGAGCTATGCCGAGGGCCTGCGGGCCGTGGGGGTTCACTGCATGGCAGAGGCTGAGGGTGACTCATGGTCTGATAGAGGTTTCGTGTCTGTGTCTTGAGAGGCAAGCAAGCAACAAGCAATGGCAATTCTCAGGTGAAGACAGCATGGTTGTTCTGCCCCGTCTCCCGTCTCTGCTGTCTGTCTGTGTGCCGGTATGTTTAATTTTGGGGCTGTTCCTACATTACCTCTGTCACATCGCTGGCAGCGTACCAAAGCCACAGCCGGGCAGTGGCCCGGTCATAGCAAGGATTCAGTCGCTAGCGGCTAGCCTACGCTGGCAGGCACTTGTGCTTGCGCGACATGACGGGAGAAGCGCTACTCGTCCACAGATGCATGTTCCGAGCTGGACGTCTTGGTCCCTGCTTTAAGCTACAAACAAATCTGAGGAACTCAGCCATGACGCCGGGACTGTGGTGATTGCTGACAACGTGCAACGTGACCAGCTCTGGGTCGATGATGAGTATCTTCGCACTCGTGTGGCACTCTGCTTGTTGCCTAGCTGATGCAAGCCTGGGAAGACGACAACGCAAGGAGTGGCTGGAAAGGCGTTCAGGCCATCGGTATCGTCCCGGACTACAACGATGGAAGCCTGGACCGGCGAGACGAGATGAGATGACAGAGCTCTCTGGACAACTGCGATTTGCCAAGCTTCGAGCATGGGTGCTGCTGCGTTGGTGCTTGGTGTGGACGACCGGCTATCTGGAGCCCAGTGGAGTATGCGGCGGCGGTGCATGCTCGCACAACTGTGAACCTTTGCCAGAAAGAAACTCAAGCTCGCATTCAGCTGAGCTTTATGATGGATGCCGCACAAGTTCAGGTCTTGGGCCTTCGCAAAGATGGAACAGAAGTTTGATGAACTCATGGTCTGCTCCCGAGACTTAAAGCCAGGATGTGCCTTGAAAATCTTCCACAGCCTGCGCACGTCCGAGGCTGCAGTGGCCCAGGAAGTTCGTAGCCCAAGCATTGCGAAGCTTCTTTGTTTTGGGTCGTGGGGGAAGGGGAAGAGGCAGGCTAGTGGTGGACTTGCCTGCCTCACAAAAATTTGGACGTGTTTTCGGTTCAAGGCTGGGCCACTGGAGTTTCATTGACAGGCAATTTTCTGGCCGCTGCCTTGTGCCGATGTACGTTCCCAAGCTCTTGCAGCAAAGCTCCCAAGTCCTCAATTGCAAGCACCATCGCCCCTCGAACAGCCTGGACCCCAAGCCCCAAGCCTTTGCAGCCAAGCTGGTCAGCAGCCTGATGCTCTGTGCTTCCTCACCACACGGCGCTGAGCTGCAAACTGCTGATGGCCACAAAATTTGGACGTTGTTTCGGTTCAAGGCTGGGCCACTGGAGTTTCATTGACAGGCAATTTTCTGGCCGCTGCCTTGTGCCGATGTACGTTCCCAAGCTCTTGCAGCAAAGCTCCCAAGTCCTCAATTGCAAGCACCATCGCCCCTCGAACAGCCTGGACCCCAAGCCCCAAGCCTTTGCAGCCAAGCTGGTCAGCAGCCTGATGCTCTGTGCTTCCTCACCACACGGCGCTGAGCTGCAAACTGCTGATGGCCACAAAATTTGGACGTTGTTTCGGTTCAAGGCTGGGCCACTGGAGTTTCATTGACAGGCAATTTTCTGGCCGCTGCCTTGTGCCGATGTACGTTCCCAAGCTCTTGCAGCAAAGCTCCCAAGTCCTCAATTGCAAGCACCATCGCCCCTCGAACAGCCTGGACCCCAAGCCCCAAGCCTTTGCAGCCAAGCTGGTCAGCAGCCTGATGCTCTGTGCTTCCTCACCACACGGCGCTGAGCTGCAAACTGCTGATGGCCACAAGCAGGATGTCTGTGTATGCTCGAGCTGTCTTTCACCTTGTTGGAGGATGTAGGGGTTTTCACGACTTCCAGACAGTGTTCAAAGCTAGGATACGGTACTTCGATACTGGTCGGAATTGCGGCGAGCGTGTGGAGGCAGTCGCGATGGAGCAACCTGGAAGAGCTGCACCAGGAGGGGCACGGCATCAAAGTCAATGCATGTCTGGTTTAGCCGTTTAGGGGAGAGCTGGACTGTTTTTTGTACGCCGCAGAAAGAACATTCCCCACGCTCCAGTCTTCTGCCTTGCAGCCATGCTTCCAGGAGGATTCCAACGAGGCAACGGAGAATTTGGTGCAGAAGAAATCCACCGTTCTCGTCACTTTCTTTGCGTCTTTGCGTGTGCGGATTGCGGTGTCAAAGGTGGAAGCCGGGCCTCTAAGCTCATTGCCGGTGCCGCTATGTTGGACCTTGGATCTCGAAGTTTCATCGGACTCCGGAAAAGGGCAGTTGAGTCATGTAGACGCTGGTAGACGCTGCCGGAGCTTGCCATCAGCCTTGACTGCATGCAAACACTGCCACTCCTTTGCAGGTACTCACGGCGAAGCTGTTGGTCGAAGTACTCGTAGATTCTTCTGATGCCACCACTTTTCAGACCAACATCGATGCCAGGTCCTCGGAGAAGACATGCCTGCCATGCAAGATTCTCCTGTCAGGCGTACCACTTTCTGCAGCCATTTGGCAGCAAGCGCTGGACAGCTTGTCTCCCAAAGGGAGACGGGCTCAGATAGTAGGATTAGTAGGCAGGTAAGAGTCTTTTGCCCATGCCGAAACCGACGGTGTGGGCTGAGGACATAGATCAGATCCTGCGTGTAATTTCCGAAGAGCAAGCACAACTGCTGCAGCTCGCGGAGGAACAGCATGCATCGTTCTCCATGTCGGTGCAGTTGGCTTTCGCTAGGATGGAGCGGTCGGATCTCCTCAGTCGTGGAGGATTGGGAAAGCGAGGGCGTGGGTTGTGCGCCTCGGGTCCTTGCGATTTGTGTACCGCGGAGGGGAATGAGGATGACACGCAGGAAGTGTTCCAAGATGTCCCTGACCAGACAGACATGCTGTCGTCTGACGGCTTCGATGCACATCAGCACAGCTCCAGTCTGCGAAAGATAGATTCTACATTCAGTGTCCCAACTTCTCCGTCTCGGGCAAAGTCGAAGAAATCGGCGAACTCGAAACCAACAGCAGAAGATTTACTTGGCCTGGACAACTTCATCGATCGAAGCAAGGCCTGGACAGATCTGCTGGCAGGCATACTTGTGCTGATCAACTCCTTCGTGATGCTAGCAGCTCAGCTGCACAGTTGCGGATCCAAACTTCTTCACCCCACGAAACCGATCACGACAGACGGGTCGCGTCACGTGGTTATGTCGTTAGGCAGAGCCGATCTCGTCAGGTCGAGCTAGAGGTCGAAGGACGAGCTGTCGGAGCTTTGATAGGCGCGGCCGGTGCGGATGTGTGCGGACGCGGTTTGATTCGCCAGCTCTACGTGAGAAGCTCACGTGTATCTGCCTGCAGGCATGGGGGAGGGTCCGACACTCAACGACGTCTCTCCCTACTTTCGGACGTTAGCGACTTGCCTGGCATGATCGGTCACTGACCAAGATGAGCATTCATAGGCACAGTGACGGGGTTCCTCAAACAAGACTGAGCTAGGACTGCCTCAGAAAATCACGGTCGGGAAGGGCTTCCCTCTGCTTTCAAGAGTGATCCAGAGTGAAGCTTCGTGCGACGAACACTAGCCGCCCGCATTGTCGACTCAAGGACGCGATTTTTGTCTTCGTGTTTCTGGCAGAGCTTTTGCTCCGAATCTTTATGGAAAAGCTTCAGTTTGTCCGTGATGTGGCCAATTGGTTCGACACATTACTCGTGATCGCGGGCCTAGTGGACATGTTCGTGATTCTACCGATGAGTGCCGCCTGGCAAAAAGGGACTTGGACACATGAGCACACGACGTAAGCAGAAGTTTTCTTGTGCTTGTTTCCAAGGGTCTTAATCGTAGCCCAGCGAGTTGATACGACTCGTGCTTGCCGAGACCTTAACATCCTGTCCCACCGAGGATGGAGCAGAAGGTCAGAATATTGTCATGCTGCGCATGGTGAGGGTGCTGAAGTGTGTTCGCGCTATTCGCTTGGTCCGAACATTCCGATTCTTTCGTGGCTTGCGGCTTCTCGTCAAAGCCTGCTACTGCTTCCTGCCATCTTTGGGATGGAGCATGGTGTTGTTGTTGGTATTCATGTGGATGGGCACCTTGGTTTTGGGAAACTTGCTTCAAGACTTCATCACGGACCCTTTGAACAACTTCGAAGACAGAGTGTGGATCTGGAATCGGTACGGGACGGCTTACCGCGCCATGTACACCCTATACGAGATCCTAGACTTTGTCATTGGGAATTCGGCGTTCGAGTAGCTCATTTGTGCTTCGTTGTTTTAGGCTACATAATGTCGTTTGTATAGTTGGGATGCCTTAAAAATCGCATAGGAGTTTGCGCCAAGCTGCTGGGCAGAGAAGCCCGTCTTTCGAGCATACAGCCTGTCATACCTTCAGCGCCAGTTTGAGCCATTAGTTGGTGTTCTGGATCCCTATAAGATCCTTGCACTGTGACATGACACTCTCCGGCCTGCTGAGAAGTCGGATTCGCAGTGACTTTTTAGGGCCTTTAGGGCTTTCGGGAGAGACTCCTTAGGCAATTCTGAAACGATGCCGCGCCACGAAGCCCGACTGTTATGCTTCGGTCACTTCGGAGACATCGCTCACTTTATTTTGCTTTCCCCACAATTTCTGCCATTACCATACAGCGCAAGACTGGGTTTAGCTTGGAGCTTATGAATCCAACAGCTTGGCTTACCATCAACATAAGAGTTTTCAACACTTTCGGCAGCCTGCAACTTTCATCTCTGGAGCTTGGGGTCAGAAAACTTACGGACATTAGGCGAGTTCAAAAGTCCGCGGGCACGTTGAGAGCGAAGACCCGTTCAGGAACCAAGCCAGAAACTCAGGAACTCAATTCGGAAACTGCTTCCACAAATTCGGGAACCACGCAGAGAATTTCAGGATCCGGAATTCGTGAACCAGGCCAGCCGGTCGAGGAACCGAAACAGAACTGAATCGCACGGTTGAGGGCGCTTGTTGGGTTGAGGGTTCGGGGTTCTTCATCTGCCTGGGGCGACCGTAGGCTTTGGATTGCCTTGCTCGCTTTAGGGTGATTTTCGGGACCACTTGAGGGCTTCATCTGGGGACGTCCTTAGGGCCGCCTTCCTTCATCTTCGGGACAACTTTAGGGTTTGGTCTGCCTTCCTTGTTTTCGGCGTTCATCTTCGGGACGATTTTTTGGCCTCATCTTCGGGATGACTTGAGGGTTTGCTCTGCCTTCTTCGCTTACGGGTGAACGCCTCCGGATGCAAAAAACCTTAGGGCTCCATTTTCGGGACGACTTGAGCTACTTTGCGCCCAGCAACCTGCGGAAACGGCCGCCTGCATGCCTGACTTAGCAAAGACGTGGCCCCAATGCGCAAGTCAGATCCACACACAGCCGGAAAGCGTAGTGCGGCGCCGTGACCGTTCGGTTCCCGAATTGTCTGCTCGCGGACCCTGAATTTCCGCGCGCTGTTATCAAATCGGGTTCCTGAATTCTGGTGATTCCCGAATTTTGGTTCCCGTCACCGTCACGTTCACGGCTTCCGAAGCCGAGCGCATTGTATTAAGGACGCAGCCAAACTGCCAATAGAATGCAATCAACACAGTCACAACGCAGGATTTCCCACAGTTCGTGGCGGCGCGTGCAAGCCGTGTCACACATGACCTGCTGACGTGGGCCCAAGATAGTGACACTGGAGTAACATCGTAGGACCGCATGCGAACACCGTGCCCTATCAACAAGCTGGAAGGTTGTTGCTGGTGCCTGGAAATCGGTTATCTTCGTGCCCTAATGTACAAGATGTCAACACATGACATGGTTGCTGTTTTGCCTTTGCGGATGCATGGGGCTTCCCGGCCAAAGACATGTCGGGCTTCTGCAGAAAACTGTTTTCGACGACACCCGGTCCTTCTTTGAAGAAGGATAGGAGGACGGAGGAAGAGGGGGATGAGGATGAAAGTGGACTTAGACA